GCAACAGCATACATGACAGCTTTCTTCATTTCAAAATTCAAATAACCTCATGTACCATCAGGTCAATACAGAAGGAATTACACAAAATGCTGTCCAGGGGAGCACGCGGATGCCATTACGATATGTTCACACGAGGAACAGGTAGTGAGGCTACTCATATATAAATAAGCTGGCAACGTCCACAGGATCAACATATACTACAAACTTTAAATGCAATTTAGTTAAAGCATATTTACGATAATCCTATAAGAGCAGGAACAAAATTAAAGTAAGCCACATCGCAACGGCTAGTTGATTATTAGCGTTGTGTGTACTAGTACTACCTAAGGGAAAAAAAACAGACGCTCACAGGGTCCACGACACAGACCAGCATATCGTGACGCCGCAATCGCATGAGCCAATTCACGGAATCACAGTCCCCTACACTACAGATGTTACTACTACTGATTAGCTAGCTGGTTAGATCCGATCTACCAAAAGATGAAATGCATCTGCTGGATCTCGACCATGTGTGCATCTGTGGATCTCGATGCGAACTATGCGATTGACACACTATCATTCTCGCAAGGATGCGCACAAACCCAAACCGTCTCATGTTACAAGCAAGCAAAGCAGAGCAAGAATCCCATGAACAGATCAGCATCCCCTGCAACCCCCCAAGCACACCCGCTAAACCCACAGATCTCGATGCGGCGGTAAGCATACCTTTGTAGTCGTCCTTCCCGGAGAGAACCCACCTCCCCTCGAAGCTCTCGTCGAACGGCTCATAGAACAGCTGCAAGCACACACAGAAATCCAACACAAAAAAAAAGCATCACAAATCTCACCCCCCAAACCACCACTCCAAGCAAATTCTCCACCAAGGAAACCAAAAAAGAACTCGCCGCTTACCGGATCGGAGGCGCGGATCTGGACGAGCAGCGCGGAGAGCAGAAGCAGCGGCAGGAGCGCGCGCCCACCCACCATCGTCCTCCCGATCTCTCGCGAGATCCAGAAATTTCCAGAGAGGAGAAGAAGAACAGAGCTGCGTCTCTCTCTCTCTCTCTCTCTCTCTCTCTCTCTCCGCGGCTTGGGGGATGAAGAGAGGGGGGGAGAGGGTATAAGAAGAGGCGGAACTGGAGCGGATGGACGGCCAGGATGAGGGGGAGGGGGTAGCGGACGGCGGGGATCCGTCGATCGGGCCGTCGGGGCGGGGGGGCGACCGAGGAAACGGGCGTGGCGTGACTTGTTCCGGCCAATGAGAAGGTGCGCGACGTGGTGGCGGCCAATGGGGTGGCGCCACGTGGGACTGGTGACGCCTGGGCCAGAGGGGACGCCACGTCGGATGGGGGCTTCAACCGGCTGTGACTATGGAAGATCTCGGAAGGAAAAAAGAACTACTACTCCGATATAGGAGTGCCAGTACCACCACGCTGTGCTCACGACCCGAAAAAAGAACGCTAAAATCGTCGAATATGTATATAGGAGTATATAAAAAGAAAAAGGATTATTTCATTAGAAATATTTATTGGCTTTTTAATATTTCATTTTTAACGTTTTAAAAAATAAACCCTACAAATCTACAACAAGTTACAAAATTTCAAACTTTTTACCGCACCACGACATAGATTGTAATGGCACTAACTGTACTGTTATGCATAAATAAATTAAAAGAGGGTGAATTTTTATTTAAAAATTTCAAGAAAATAGAAAAGAAACATATGACCCAAGTCTCCACATCCATATAAGATAGAGGGATTAATTAGCCGAAGTTCAAAAAAATAAGCTAAACGGCATATTTGTAAACGAAAAATAATTTGTGAATAAGACTTTTATATACGTGTTCTTAGCGATCTAAAAGCAAAGGCTGGAAAATAAACTTCGATGAAAATTCCCCAAAATCAACTCAAATTTAAGGTTGAAAATTTAAATTTTGGCTGATAACCATAAGCTTAAGCCAAAAAATGAGGTTGTTACTATGTTTTTTTTCCTTTTGAGTTATTCTTTCAAGGAAAGATTAAATTTGCTCCGTTAACTTGGTTCAATTTTGGGCACTCAATTATAAAATTGTTCACTATTTGTTACAAATTTCTACATTTCATCCATGAGTACAAACTAATTTTCGATGACAATGCTTATGTGGAGTCCACGTTAGCTAATAGTGATAACATCAACATACTACAAAATGATGCTGGGGCGGTGAAACGTCATGTTTTTTGGGATGGAGGAAGTATTATAAAGAGATGCTATTCACCATGCTTCTCTCCTCTCGAGAGTTCTTCTGCATCCCCTCTATAGTGCTCTTTTCTTTCCTCCGGCCCCTCTCTCTCTCTCTTCTTCTCCGGTGTCTCACCGCCCTGGAAGGGATGGAGAGAGGTCCAACCCATCTACCCTACTATTAGTTGTAATTCTAGTCGGGTCTTCCCGTATGGGCGTATGGTCGTGGTTCCCATGTCGTTGTTTGTTGTCTTTTGGTTCCCGAAGTGGTTGTCGGCATTCAGTTTCCCTCGTCCTAGTATCACGGTGAGTTCCGCCGATTTCAGATCCGGTGACACTCGCCATTGGAGCTGGGTGTCTACTACGCGCCTTCACTGTGGGTTCATCCAATCCTCCGGAGTCAAAAGTAATACCGGTCTTACTTTCTTTCTCCGGTGTCCTCCTTCCAACGATGGCGGCCTTCTTCTCAACATGCGGCGAATCTCTCTCTCAAGACGTCTGAGGTTTTCAAGCTCCACCGAGATAGTTTCAACCTCCTTTGTGCGGAGGCCTCGTATAGGTTTGCCTCTTGGTTTCTGCTGCAGATTGCTATGTTTTCCTTTGTTTTTTCGCTGGTCTAGTGGATTCGTTTGTCATCTTTGGAAGAAATTCCTTTTAGCCGATTATCTTCTTGTGCTCTGTTGGAATTCATACCATGGTTTGCCACCATCCAAACCTGCATGTGTGTGAGGCCCCTTTTGGGATTACGTGGTAGCTTAATCATCTGCGGCTTATCTGGATCTACTCTCCACCAGAGTTGCGCTTTAGGATTTCATCGACAGCGAAGGCAAACAAAGGAAAAGGACTTGATTGATTTTCCAGTTTCTTGTTAGGTCCTCTTCTGCAAAATGTTGTCTTACAGTGTACTCCCTCCGTCCCACAAAAAATTCCCTTAATGACTAAAATGCCCTTAATAATTAAAAAAAGTAGTAAGAGAGAAGGTAGGTAAAGAATATTGAAGGGATAAAACTTCTCGTTTTACGTGCTGAGAGTAGGTAGGATGGTAAAAGTTGGTTTTTCGTGGGACAAATTTTAAACTCTAGAAGTTGAGTTTTTTTTGGACGGAGAGAGTATTTTGCCCAGTCTTGAGGGGCTTCTTTGAGCACTGTATCTACTCCTGTACCATGTTATCCGTTTGGCCTTTGAATAAATGCATGAGTTATCAAAAAAATACTACAAAATAATAATAAACAAAACCAAAATTAATAATAAAAAAAGAAAATACTGCAATCCACATGTCAACCTTGTCTCTTTTTCATATTTCTCTCCTATGCTCTACATATGATTTATTTTAAGGCCCTTATTTTAAATTACCAACTTATATGTATAAACTTTGTATTGCATAATATAAAGTTTATATGTATGTATACAAAGTATATACAGACATATATATACAACGTATATATATAAACTCTATGTATAAAAAAATTGACGTATAAAAAAGTACATGTGGATACAAAGCTGGTATATGTACATATAAAAAACTGAAAAAAAAACAAAGAGAAACAAAAAAAAAGAAACCTGCACTCTTCTCCTACGCCGTTCCACCTCCCTCTCTCCGCACGCGCGGGTAGGGGGAGCGTGTGCCTAGGCGCATATTAGGTCTTTCCATTGCCGCCACCCCACTGCACCACGCGATTGAGGCCCACCAGACCTCTTCAGGGATCCCCGCCACCAGAGACACCCCTACCTCCTAATCACTCAGTCTACATTACCCCCGCTACCAACACCAGCCCACCATGTGAGATGCCGATGTCACCTGCCTCTTCTGCCAGTCACCAGAAAGAGAAATATGCAAGATTTTAGTCCTAATTTTCTGCCGACTGTAATTTAGCAAATTCTTAATTTAAAACCAATTGGAGTGTTTATTGATGTTAAGGCTAAAAGTTGAACACACAGATGTTTTAGGCCAATACAAGTGTTTTTTTTTGGACAAAGCAACAGAACTGTTTTGGAGGAGCCAAAGAAACATGCATATTTTCTTGAGTGAGCATCCCGAGCTTCACAACATGAATCGGGAAAGTTACTGCACCCTCCGCCCTTAAATATAAGAGATTTTGATTGGATGTGACATATCCTAGTATAACGAATTTGGATAGATGAGTGATATGATGTAATTGTGCATTACATAATCATATATTTGTTACTCCATCCGTCCTTAAATATATGGGATTTTGGTTGGATGTAACATATCCTTACATCATATCACTATCATTTCTGGTTGTAGTGATTTTGTAGCTATTCACAGAGCAGAACGAAATTGATGACTCCATAGAAGTGAGTGGCTCATTGTTCGCACCTGGTTGCGCTGGCCAGCAGGTGCAAATTTAGAACATAACAATGAGTTTACCTCTAAAGAAAAATAGAGTGTAGATTGTTTACACATGATTGCGGTGGCCCAAAATCTGGAGTACAAGATGAGGTTGTAGATCTTGCATTTTCCCCTGCATAAACTTAATGGGCATAGTCCCGCTTGATAATTAAAGCATGCTACATTAAGCTCATTATTAATTTAGATGAAGGTCCTCATGGTCTATCATATACAAATGACATGCGTGAAAGGGCATGTAGCCTAGTGGTTGCAGTGACCTGAGTAGCACCCTATGGTCCTGAGATCAAATCTATATATGAGAGAATTTCAGATTAGGTTAGGCTAAGATCTCAATTTAAAAAGGCTGCATATATTCGGTTGGATGTAGTGGCCGGGTAAAAATACCCATCTCTAAAAAGAAAAAAATATACAAATGACATGCACAGCCAGCAGAGGATTTAATATCACTTTCTTTTTTTTCCTGTAGACATTTCATTTGTGCTATGAGTTTCAACTTGAAAGTGAGCTAACCAAACTGAAGTACAAATTACAAAAACAAACAAGCATATATGAACCACCAATAACTGAGAAGTCCATAGAAACAACATAGCTAGGTTATTTAGGTCCAATAGTGAGTTTTATTTACAAAGGTTGAAAGGTAGTATCTCAAAGTTTGACATCACAAGAGATGCACCAACAAAAACGAAATTGGATTTAAGGAAATTGTTCTGTCTCCATGCATGACATCTTCAACACAAACACACAAGGCTTTTTTTTTTTTCTTAGTCGGACCGGGACGCAATGAACTTGATCAGGTCATATCCCTTCTTTGGGGGAGGTGGTGCTCTGGCCAGGACAGGGTACTCGTTTTCATCCATGCCCTGCTTCCTTGCATTCTTTGGGCACCAGACGCCTAGCTGCTCCTTCCTTGCTACCTCCTGGAATTCCTCAAGCTTCTTGATGGCTGCCCTCCTCTCCCTCGAGTCCCATCTCCTCCTCTCAAGTTGACCATACCCTCTCTGCAAATGGAGAGATACACAATGGTTATCACATGATTTTTTTTTCAAAAGAAATCTAAAATAAGTCAGCAACACAAAATCTTAGACATGTATTTCAGGAGTTTGAGTATGTCAAGGAACAGATGTTAGTGAACACAACCTACAATCTTATATGCTAAAGTTAGTGAATTCCAAATGTAACGTAATTTAACAATATATACTTATTATAAGAGGTTATTCGTGATTGAAAAGAAAATATTGAAAAATAAATTGCAATGGAAAAACCCCAAATCAGGTCTACAATAAAGTTTTTTTTTTCTGTGTGCTTATAAGCTAAAGGTCGATAGGGGTGAAAACAACCACTAGAACTAATTAACTAACTTCAATATATAAATACCATTTAAGTGAAAACTCTGTCTAGAATTGCATACCTCTAGCATCTCAGCATTGATGCTATTGTCGGTCTCACTATCGAGTAGAGTCACGCCGAGGATTTCTCCGGTTCCCTGACCCTGCAATTTCCCTCCCGAAGCAGCATCTCGCTCTTCGACAATAGCCTCAAATTCTCTCCCATTGTCAAGCAAGATACTGTTCAGATACATAGCTGCCTCTTGCCCAAGATAGTCATTTAGACTGGGCACCTTCACAAAGGCAAGGCTGCACAGCTTTGCAAGGGGAGGAATAGAGGAAATGGATAGATTGATAGGTCTCAGGCAACTGTGAGGAACAAGTTCTTGGTTTCCATAGTCAATGTAAAATACTTCAAACTCAGGTCCTTCAACTCCCTGACACTCACCTATAATCTGTAAAAGAGTAGGTGTTCATATTATGTTATAATAATGCCATACTTACATGAATGGATGCAACATGATTTTATATATATGTAAGAAAAAAAAGTAAAAGATTACCATGGCTCTGTTCCATGAATTGTCGCAGCGGAACAATGCAAGCACCATTTCTCCCTTCATAGGAGTAAATGGAGCTGTGTTTGAATCATCTGGTAATGGGTCTATATCCTTAGAAGTTACTGATTCATCCTTAGCCACATCAGAAGATGGGTCTTCGGCATCCAAAGTTTCAGGTAAATCTTTTGTCAAAGTAGCAACCTCTTTTGAAGTTTCCAGCTCTTTCACTTCTAAAGCTTCAGCTGGATCATCCTTAATGTCTAAAGAAGCAAGCTGATGACGTACGAACTCCACATGTTCATCAGCAAGTGCTTGGACATAAAACATTCCAGCACCTAGCACTTCAGTGACAATAACCTTAAAGAAATAATAAGTCGAGTTAGCATAGTATTTTTGATACATTTAACTATATAGAACATTAAATTCAACAAACAAACCTTTAGAGTCTCTTTATTATCATAAAGAGAGACGTTGGAAACTTCAACTTCCTCGTAGTTCTCCCATACCTTTAAATTAATAAGTGATTTAACATATTTTTTTTATTTTAGAGATAATAAAGAGCCAGCATTAGAAGAAATTTATTTAACCTATTAAAAATAGATGTGTCTAACCTTCAATTTCTTTTGCTTTGCAATTTTTTCAGTCTTTAAGAGAACCTGAGCATCTGGCATCTTATCCACTGCAAATGAGCTGATCTTAGCAAGACCAGCCTCCAAAAGAACCGAAGCCACATTGATATTAGATTCCCATAAGGAACCTAAGAATGTTCCAGTTCTATCAACTGTGTTGATCTCAATCTGCAAAGTCATTCAAAATTCTTAGAAAATGAAAACAATTTTAATTATACTGATTGAAGGCTCTCCTAGGAGAGCCCAACATTAATCCTAATGGATGAAAAAAAACAGCTATAAAGAGCCCAACGGCCCAACATATTAGTGGGTAAAAGAAAGCTTAATTCCCACATAAATAGAAAATTCTATAAATTTTCAACTCTATTCTATAAATGTTCAACTCTACTGTATAGATTTAGTTTCTAGCCATAAAAGAAAGGGAAGAGTTCCTGTTGAACTACGGTATAGATTTAGTTTCTACACTATATATCATATACTAGTATATATCTACTGTTGAATTGTTATTAAGGTCATGACCATGTACCTGCAGTGCTGCATCCGAAAGTGTCCAAACCAAATTACAGAACAAAAGGATGGCAGCCCTAATTTAGTTGGTTGATTGTAAATTGTAAGTATGTACATATTGCGATGCTAGCTAGGTTGTGGGAATAAAAATTAGTTTTTGCAAGATAATATGGAACGATTTCTTTTAAGTTAAGCGACTAAAGTAGCCTAATTTAAATACTAGGTTTTTGTTCATTATCTAATTATATATAAATATACAATTATAGTTATGGATCCTGCATGGTAGACTTTAGGCAATATTATAAATATAAATTTAATGAACATAAAAAAGATTTGTTCCAAACAATAATTTTAGGGCTGAATTAAATTTGAATTATGGTAAATAAGAAATATAAAATATAAAAAATCAGAATATATAAATTAAAAAGGAATATGTGAGTTAAATTTCCAAAAAAAAATAGAGACATTATTGCGCTTCATTTCCATGTAGAAATTAAAACATACCTACTCTCTCCGTCCCAAAATATAAGCATTTTTAGAATAGTGACAAGTCAAACTTTTTAAATTAATTTTGACTATTAATAGCAAAGAAATAAAAAATATCAATACTACTCCCTCTGTCCCAAAATATAAGCATTTTTAAATAGTGACAAGTCAAACTTTTTAAATTAATTTTGACTATTAATAGCAAAAAAATAAAAAATATCAATCATGTAAATTTGATGTTACTAGATTTACCATTAAACGAACAATTATAATATGCAAATCTTTTTATTTAAACATCTTATTTTTATAGATATTATTGGTCAAAATAACATCTCGAAAACCATATCGAGATCCAAAAATAATTATATTTTGAGACAGAGGGAATATTATATAGCTTGTCAAACAAATGAACACAAAAGCTAAAAGCTAAAACACCGGACATAAAGAATTAATGTACCTCGACATTCCGTTGTAATATCCTTCTCCTCATCATTGTGATGGCCTCATCAGAGTAGGGCTCATCTCTACCGGGGCACCGAACACCAGAAAGCGCGAATGCAATGGTGCAAGTCTCTTTAGGGATCGTCACTTTGAAACGATGGCCGCTGAAAACGTACTCAACAATTGCGGAATGCCTCCTGCTGCGTTGCAACAGGTGAAGGAATTCCTTCGCCTTTTTGGGTACCTGTCAAGACAGAATTGGAGGCCACTTAAAATGTTATATAAGCAAAGGTTCATAAATAACAAAGTTAAAAATTCTAAATGACAAGGTTGCTTTTAAAACGGCCTGCCTGCGTAAGTAATTAAAAGGGGGCCGTCTACGAAAATACTTTCCGTAGTACTTCCTCCGTTTCATATTATAAATCGTTTGACGTTTCATATTATAAACTTTGTTAAGTTTGATCAAGTTTATAAAAAATTTGTGCAGCATATAAAGTATCAAATTAGTTTCTTTAAATCTAACACTGAATATATTTGACAATATGTATGTTTTGTGTCGAAAATATACCACTATATTTTTCTATAAACTTAATTAAATTTTAAAAAATTTAACTAGAAAAAAAAAGTCAACCAACTTATAATATACTCCCTCCGTTTCAAAATGTTTGACACCGTTGACTTTTTAGCATGTGTTTGACTGTTCGTCTTATTCAAAAAATTTTGTGAAATATGTAAAACTATATGTGTACATGAAAGTATATTTAACAATAAATCAAATGATATGAAAATAATAAATAATTACTTAAATTTTTTGAATAAAACGAATGGTCAAACACGTACTAAAAAATCAACGGTGTCAAACATTTTGAAACGGAGGGAGTATTATAAAACGGAGTAGATAGTGTTTACCCTCGTCAAATCTGTCATATGAATAGGAGGGCACTCCTTCTTGGAGTGGTAGCCTTTCTTCGTCTTCTCAGCTCGCGCATGGGCAGCTATGAGAGCATCGTAGTGATGCGACCTGTCCTCGTAGTCACGGTGCCTGGTGATGTCGGCTAATCCGCGCGAGACCAGCAGCGCCGCAACGTTGATCCCGAGCTGATTATTGCTGCTGTCCGAGCTACTAGTAGCGGTTTCTCCATCAGCATGCGATGAGCTGGGAAGGAACACCGACCCGTACTCCAAAACTCTGGTTTCAGTCGAGTTAGTTCTCGGGCCAGCAATCTGTCCGTCTGCAATGTTGATCCTCCTCGAGTACTCCATTGAGACGTTGACCTGAAAAATTAGGGGTGAATTTTGAATAAGAGTGATGTTCATAACGCTGAATAATTAAAAGGGAAACAAGATTCTGTAGGGGCTTCGTGATGATTATGCATGTTATGTAATTATAATTATTAAGCGTGCTTACTTGTTTTCCAATCAGTCTTGTGCGCAGGAATTCCTTTGCTGTGCGAGCAAATTGTTCAGAGGATTTGTTCTCCTCTGAAGGCTTTTCAAACTTGGGGGGTCTGATGCTTGAAAGATTAACTCGGCGTTCTGCTGAAGGACTGCCATAAGGTTCAGCGTCATCAGCGATGACTAGGCAGTACCCGTTCACAACCTCTATCACCTGGAAAATTAAACAACCATTCACAGGGTCAGCTGTGTTGCTGTGCTGCAGAATCTGATATTTTCTTTCTTATAGTTATAAGGTAGATGTAGTTGAATAGGAGTAATTGGTACATATAAAAAACTGCAAATAAAAGTAATTATATATTATGGATCATCATGCTGAAGTGCAAGCTGCTACAAGGTACTGCAGCAAGAGATGGGAAGTGATTTTAATAAGTTATAGGGCATGTGACATGTTTTGTTCCCATGTGATTCAATATTAATGGTTCCTGAAAATTTTGACTAACATAATGCTACAGATTATTGTATCACATATCTTCTCATAAACATGTAAGGTCAAATTCAATTCACAATGTATTGTGAGAAACAGAAGTGATAAAACTAATTACTAGGCGGCCATATTTTTTCATGTACTCTAGAGAGAACTTGAGCTTTCACGTTTCCATAGTAATAAATGACACCATAATATATGTGTTCAATTGAATTTAAGAGAAAAATGAGCAATTGAAATTTGAAAATCATTAGTGTCCAAAAATGGAAGAAAATGGATGGTCAAGACCACTCACTTTTCCTGTGAACTTTTGGTTGTGAATTGGCTTTGTGTTTGTCACCGGGGGCTTAAATCCAGTCCAGATTCTTAACTGTTCCTTCTTAACCTGAAGATCAGCATTCCTCAACTTTGTCTTAAGTTGAGGATCAAGCACATTTGCACTCCATTCAACATACTTTGCGAGTCCCTATACAATGTGACAAGAACATTGGTAAGTGGAGTGAAAGGAAAATTTGAGTGGTACGACATGGAGAAACAATATTCGTCATACATTTTGAACCAGATCAAGTGCCAAGTCCTTTACAACATCCCCATCAGAATAATAAACTGAACCAAATATGTTGTTGAAATTGTCTGTACCCTCCATCACAATCCGCACCTAAAGGCAAATGGAAAAAAAGATAGTGATCAGAAATTATATCTTTTACAATATGTTTACACTAATAAACCCCCACAAATTAGCATGGTATTGACAGTAACAATACATATGAAAACTGAAAAAAAATAATAACTTACTTCTCTGTTAAGCACCCGTGTCTCGGTGAAGTGCTTAGCTTCTTGTCCAAACCTGTCTGGTGGGACTTCAGAATAAATGTCAGCTGATGCCAATAGTTTCTGTGCTGCTGCCATTGGTGCTGGAGTAGTGGAAGCTTCTCCATTTGCTGCGCCATTGCCAACTCCAGCTTGAGCATTTGGGGGAGGAGTTGCTCGTCTTCCCATGGATGGGGCCTGGATCATAGTACAAAATCAAAGTTCGTCATCCAAGCAGTTAACATTAACAGATTCATGTATATTTACATGTTTATATATAATAATGCTCAAGATGTACAAACATTAAAAGGATCTATAAAAGAATATATATAACTCAAACTTACTATCAACAAATTGTGTTATACTACTTGCTAAAGTAACTGTCATAATAATTATTATATCATACAGACTAGTGAGAACAAAGACTGATTAGAAGCATGCAATCAATACACAGTTCAAATCTTGAAAACATAAATAAAACGAATGGAGAAAATGCATGTGATTAATAAATAATATACACCTCATATTTAGTGTTGGTTGATAAAACTTTAATCAGGTTGCCATGGTCCTAATTATCCTCAACTAGCATTCATCCATGGTAGCATATACGATTACATATAATGTATATAAAAGGGGCTACACATCAGCTCCATACCTGGACGCCAGCAACGTAAACTTGGACATAAAGGAAACTGGGAATCAAGTGCACACGAATAGTACTTCCATCGCGAACATGCTCTACAATGGCTTCCAAGCTCTTCCCTTTGTTTTCAGCAACGAAACCCTTGGCATCGAAAGATCTGCCATCTCCAATTGTCGATGGTGGCAGATCTCTTATTGACGACTCAAGAGCGCCAGGAAGCTGGAAGTAAAACGAGATAGATATATGCATCAGTGATATGATCATAGATATGATGGTGCGGCAGCGCATGTTGTGTCGTCGTAAGACAAAACGGGAAACGATTCTAAACTCTCGAGAGAACTTTCCCTCCCGTTATTTGTATGTCATTCAAACAGTTACAAAAAAGACGAAATACTAGAACTAACCTTGCTCCAACGGCCTAAGCCTTGGTCCCTGGCAATCGTCTCCAGCCTTAGCAACTCAGCAACATACGGGCTTATTTCTCCCTTCTGCCCTTGCTCTTTCACCTGATCTCGGCCAAAGCAAAAAAAAAAAACACTCAATTCAGAATCGAGCATGATCATCATCAATCGATACAAATTAACACGATAACTAGCTAGAGAGAGAGAGAAAAAAAAATGCAGTAGTTCTTACCTTAGCAAGACCTGCAGCTACTACCATGCAAGCGACATTCTTCTCAGCAAAGAAGACCATGCCGAATTTGCGGCCCGAGGGAGAAGCAGTGTATTCTACTCGAAACCTGACGTCTTGTCCGATGAGGAGCCTCCTCAGGTACTCCCTGCTCTCCCATGCGAAAGGCTCGTCCATCCCACCGCGTCGAGCCTGCAATTGCATAATAAACATAATAGTAGTATGTGAGCCAATATATATAGCTTGTATGAATGTATTTGCACCAGCTGCAACAAGCTAACAAGCCGATCGAGGATACCAATTAAGCCCAAAACCTTGTAGACATTACTCAAGGAAGGCCCACAATTCAACAACACGAGAGGCGTCAATGGGCTTCGGCATACTTTCTTCTACGAGAAATTTTATAGGAAGATTACACTGGAAATTTTGGTACTACCTCCAAGTACTTATTTGTAGTACTAGAGGTAACCATAATTTCTAGAATAAAATTTGGTATCTCAGTAGCTCGAGGTACCAAAAAATTTCATTAAGAATGGTAAAATTACCCTTCTTTTAATGTTTGAGCTTTTACCCAATCATCAAAATTGAGATGTTCTTGTCCATTAACATTATTACTCCTATGAATTCTAATATGACTAAACTACCATGGGCAGGTAATTCTAATGAGATTTACTCCGGTCCAACAAAAAGTACCTCGAGGTACCGGTACCTCACGGTACTAAATTATTTCTAATCGTTAGATCTTGTTGGGCGGGATGGGTATTGTTAGATCCAACGATCGGAAACGATTTGGTACCATGAGGTACCAGTACCTTGAGGTACTTTTTGTTGGACCGGAGAAAATCTTAAATTCTAATATGTTTTTGAAGTTGTATTTTCTTCAAACGTACACACACATATATATAAGATTGATAATTTGAAGTTGTATTTTCTTCAAACATACACACACATATATATAAGATTGATAATTTGAAGTTGTATTTTCTTCAAACGTACAGATATATATAAGATTGACGAAATACCCTCCTTGGCGATCGATCGATCAGAGATCTTACCAGGTTGGGCGCGATGATGCACGACAGCGTGACGGACATCTCCGGCGGCGGGATGACCTCCTCCGCCTTGGATGTGTCCATGATCACCACCGTATCTCCCGACGGGACGGACTTCACTTTCCCCTTCCACACCGGCGCCGCCGCCGGCACGGCGCCACCGGTCACCATGGTAAGAAGCTAGTAGCTAGATTAGGCTCCCTGCAACGAGATAAGAATTCGTTAATTAGCAAACTAAAGAACAAGGTAAAAAAAAAAAAGAAGGCATTCATGCAAGCATTATGTTTGCGTGATCGATCGATCGATCGATCGATCACGCAGATCACAGCGATTCTAGAGGTGTTATGAGGCTGCACTCAATCGATTAAATTTCAACTTATCAAATTGCACTATACATTGGTACCAATCAATCGATTAATTACGTACAAAGATCAAGTTATCAAATCTGATCGATCTGGACCAAATTAAACACGTACGTATATAGATGTGGATCAAGGGAAGATTTTATATATGGTAATCGATCAAAAGAACCCAATCAAGACCAAATTAAAAGAAGGGCATGCATATGCATGTAAGTCTCTAAAACCTAATTAACTAATCCAAGGAGAAAGAAAAAACTCACCGGCCGAACTAGATGCGACGTCGGCGGATCTCGCGAGTGCCTCGTACTGTCGTCGAGGGTTTTGGGTGTCTTTGCGAGAGAAAAACAAAACGGGTAGGGGTAGGATATATCGGTTGGGCGGACGTACGTACGCCCTATTTGTAATGAGATTACGGTTGTGTGGCGCTGTTGGGGAGGAAGTTGGAGTCGTGTCCAGAGTCCAGAGATCCGCGGCTTCGTTGGCACTCGTATGCGTTTTGATCACGTCCGTCCCCTGTATGGTTTTGATGACTTTCGTCCGGGGCTCTGAGCCCTGATTTTTTTTTTCTTTTGCACATGCCAAGGCATTTTCAGTTTGTTGACACTTTCAATCTTATTAAATATTGGCATTGCTAAATTTTGATAAGACAATAAAGTATACACACTTCAACCATTATTATCTCACTAAATTTTAGCAGTTGTAGAAGCTTCTTCTTTTAAAACTCTACCAAAATTTGCCAAAGGTATCGACACAAATAAAGCCAACACTGTCAAATTTTGGTAATGCCAAAATATGCTAAAGTTTTATTACCCAAATGTGAAATGGTTTATTTGGGCAACAAAGTGAACTAGCCCTTAGTCCTTTTTGAAAGCTTGTTTTACAAATAGACCTCTAAAAAAACTTATTCTGAAATTAGACTTTTTTTCGCGACAGTAACATCATTAGCATCGTGGTCTAACATGACGGCGTCCCTAGCCACCCCATGGAAGCTAAACCACTCATATCATATATGAAGCCTATGATGTTGGCACCGCGAAAAAGGTTCATTATTGGGATAAGTTTTACAAAAGATCCATTTGTGAAATAAGTTTTCAAAAGGGACCAAAAAGTGAAAAAAAAATCTAGGCTCTCTATCACCGATCGATCCATCGGCCCGCAGCTCCACACCGCATCTCTCCAGGCTCGCCCCCTAGCGATCAATCTCTCTAGCGCACATGACTCGCACTCGCACTGCCACCCCCACTCAATCGATCTGGGCACGCTAACTAGCACACGAATCACCCGAGAGTGAAGGAGGAGGAGAGAGCGCTGGTGGAGGACAAGCACGCCGGCGTCATCGCGTCGGCGTGTGTCCTAGCTGGCTCAGTACTAGATTTTTTTTTTTTGCAAGCGGTCTAAAATGATCTTCCGAGGCAAACGGCTAATCCACCTGTAGGCAAAAGCCTGCGAGCATCAAGAGGAGGAAGAGCTCGTCGGTGTTCAAGAAGCTAGCTAGTTCGTCGTCCTCTTTCGCAGGAAGTGCACATCGAGGCCCTACCGGCCGTAGCTCTTTCAACACTCCGCACATCGGCCTAATCAAAGTCCGCATGAAGTCTAGGGCCGTTTTGTATACTTTATCTTGACCATGGAGAACGCAGATGGAATTATCTGGAGGAGTGCTTCATTTAGTACTACCTCCTTCTCTAAATGTTTGCCGCTGTTTAGTTTAATTTTGAGCTAACCAACAATAAAAATAAATTGAGGGTATTATACAGTAATAAATGCATATGAACATGCATGAGAAAAATAATGGTACTACTATAGTACTCCACTACAAACAAACCACCACGATTTCAATTTTTCATTTAGATTGGTAATAAAAAAAAGGCCCAACTAGCTTTGACATAAAGGAATCCCATTTAAGGACCAACTAGTTCTCTTGAACAATTATTAAACAATTAATAGTGACTAAATTATATATGAGAGGAAATAAATAGACCTTCTCACACAGCTAGCTACAACAACTATATAGTAAGAGATTTAAAACCTTGGTGCTCACTTTAGTCCAGTGATGAGTCCTTCAATGCACCACCCCAATGCGCGGCATGGATCCCAGCCACAACTGATCGACGTCCCACCGCCCCCACCGCTGAATTGCGTTGATCGTCAAGCCTATCTGCAAGCTCGCAGTTAGTGTCCTAAATATGGGACACCCAATACTTATGCATTAAGCTCAGCAGGGTACACCATATATATACTAAGTGTTATACGGGATCAAGCCACATACATGAAAGGTGTTTTGGATAAGGAACAAGAAATAGAGTATCATTTGGGCGCTACAAGGTCTATTTGGATCGTATCCATACTTCGGTTTTGAGAGATATAACCTGACCAGGGTACGTTCCGAATTCCCCTCCAGATCAGAACCCTCATCATCCCAATCTTCATCAAGACATTGCTGCTGTGGATATTCCGGCGAAGGATACTTCGATGATTTCGGATCTGGGAGACATGACCTGACCAGAGTGCATTCCCTTATAGATTGGAACCATTGTCATCCAACAATTTGATTCGTTAAGATCAACAAAGCACGTTGCCGCTGTGGAAAGCAACAATTTAGTATTGTCGACGGTGAGGCCTTCGCGTAGATCGACTAGTTTCGAACTAACATACGCCGCCAAAAAAATCCGATCCGTCTGACAATTGTGCCAAAGTCTTCAGATCTTTGTTGCAATATTGCTTACTACTACGAGAACCCATAGACAAATCGAATCACCAAGCCATAGCCACAAACCACACTGATAAATAGCTAGGAGGAGATCAATCGCTATTCGTCGACATCAAATCGCCAGATTGATCGTAGTTAGCGGGTTAGAAATTAGAATAACTAATATGCTCCCCTATTGTAATGCGTGTGGTGAATGCCAAAGATATATACATATAAAGTAGAGTAGGATTATTACTCATCTTAAGACCCAAACCACTATTAAAATCCTTGTCCCCTATCTACTTAATGTACTATCTCACGTATACCTTATATCTTCATATTCTATAAATATTGTTGTCATATACAATCATTTCGACCTTTTTTCCAACTTCTACTCTCTTGGTTTAACCAGACATACACTTCCAAATTGTTACATATTATTTTTTATGAAAAAATCCCATATAAAATTTATTTTAGAAAGTCATATTAATTATTTTTAATTTTTTATTTAGTTAATATATAACTAATTATAGATTAATAACTTAACTCATTTTCTGTCCTAAAAGTTCAGTTTAAAAGGAATAAGTTATTAGGCATGTTTGAGCTGGAGCTAGAACTTAGGCAAATAGTTTCAGCTCCACCTATAATTGGAATGGAGTTAGATTAAGCACTCTTACAAAATAAACTAAAGAGGTGGAGCTAGGTTTACATAGCTTCACAACTCTGCTACACTCGACTCCTGATACTAAATTAGCTCTAACCTAATCTTCCAACACAGGGCTCGTTGACATGGCCCTAGTGGGGTTGGTTGGGTGGGCTGTGTACGCGGAAGAGACCGAACCAAATAAACCGCACCGCAGCCGTACTCCTCCACGAAAAGGCGAAAACGAAACCGCTCAACCGCTGCTCCATTCCCCTCCTTCGTTCCCCCAACGAAATTGAGACGGAGGTAGTACTAAAAATATTGAGAATTTGAGATAAGAGGGTGGAAATCTCTCCCGTCTCGTTCGTCTCCTCCGCTTCGCTCCTTTGCGCCAAGACGCGTCGCGGGGCTGAACAGGGAGAGAGGGGCGGCGATCTCCATTTGCCGAGCAGAGCAGAGCAGCGGAGGGGATCCTGGTGAGCATCCATCCACATCCTCTTTCTTTCTGATTCATCTCGCTCCCACCGGGACTACTTTTGTCTTGGAATTTGCTTGCGTTCGGTTCGTTCGTTAACCCTAGCTTTCTCTTCTAGATCTGGAAGAAGCTCTCCTCTTAATTTCAGAGCCTTAACCTTAATACTACTACTACTGCAAGTAACAGTTTGTTTGTTCCCCCCTCAAAAAGTTTGGGGGTTCAACTGAACCCCCCCATGTCCCAAGTTGGATCATCCGCCCCCTGGTTTTGACTAATGAGATATCCGTTCGATTCCCTGATAAATAAACCCTATTGTGCATACTGAATCACGGACTAGGTGGATATGTCTAATTGAGAGCCGTCGTAAGTCCACATGGACGAGTAGTTTTGAATTGGTCCTCCTGAGCTATGTAAATGTGGGTTGGTGTTCCTCAAACTTTGCTGCCAGGTGATGGTCTAAGTGGCTCATATGAGTTCAAGTACTTCTCTGCTCTAGAAAATGGATTTTGTACTCTTTAGCTTGGTGATATGTGTTAATCTCTACAATTATCATGACTCTGGAGAACACAGATGGAATTATCCGGGGAAAGTTTCATTCAGTGTGGTGGTCATTAATGCATATGAACATGCATGAGAAGAAAAAAATGTTACGATCTATAATAAGGCTGCGTTCGATAGGATGGGTTGGGAACCCATCCCCTCCGCACGGAAAACGGAGCTGTCCATTAGCGCGTGATTAATTAAGTATTAGCTTTTTTTTTTTCAAAAATGGTTTAATTTGATTTTTTAAGCAACTTTCGTAAAGAAACTTTTTGCAAAACACGCACCGTTTAGCATATTGAAAAGCGTGCGCGCAGAAAACGAGGGAGAGAGGTTGGGAACCTTGAGGTTCGAACGCAGCCTAAGCAGTTATTGTCAGTAAACCTGAATATGCTTTAATTTATATCGTAGTAATGTGGGTTCTATTCAAAATATTCTGGTTTGCTTACTATAAAAATTAAATAATCATGCAAACAACTAATACCTGTACCCAACATATGAGATAAATTTAGCACATCCAAACTGTAGTTTAGCGCTTTGCGAGAGGCTCTCAATTTCCTTAGTTGATTAATTGTTTTTCCTTTTGTGTTTTTAGGTCTTCTAGGTTTCTTTATTTCTGTTGAATGCATTTAATTGTGTTGTAAAATTGAATTAATTATCTGTTCCACCTCTAGGTTGGAAATGACGCACATGTTTCCATATGATGGTGCCTCGTCCAGCTCAACCTCTCTGAGTAGTCAGAAGAGCGAGACTGATGATGACAGGATGATTGCAATGGTTCTTTCGGAAGAATATGCTAAGTTAGATGGTGCTATGGCCAAGCGGCTCTCGAATTTAACATCTATTCCTGTAATACATTAATGCAAGCTCTATTTTATGTATTCCATTCCTTTTCTGCTGTGCTCATATTTTTTTGAGTTGATGCAGCTGATAGGCATGCCTCTTACATGATGTTGTTTTTTCCTCTGAACCTTTACAGCACGTCCCCCGAATAAACACATACTTTCCGACATACAGTGATGCCACTATGGACCATCATCGCCTTCTCGATAGGTTTTTTTTAATGATCTCGCTTGCTTTACCTGTTAATTCTTCACATTTATTTCTTGCAATGTTAGGCCTTCATTTTTTTAGCATATAAATATTTTAATTCTACAATCATTTGTGCATTAACATTTCGCAGATCCTGAATAACTACACTTGCCTGCATAATCTTATGGCAAATGTTTGGACAAGCAAATCATTGATAGTCAAGAATTGGTTTTGCAAAGGCTTAAAGCATGATTATTTTAACATTGGGGATTTTATGTGGGATTTTAGGAAGACACTAGATAAAACTGCATGGCTAAATTAAAATTTTGCAAGGTTTTACTTAGTTGCCATTCCTCATCATGTCCTTCCCATCTATAAAACATACTACCCTATCCTTTCTGACATTCCAAATTAATGTTGTATTTTCTTATGTACACAATCTTTAGCCATTTTCTATCATTCCATGAATGATACTAAAACAAACCTCATTCCCATGCATGCTCTTCAGTAATTATATATAAAAGTAACTTAGAACTATGTTAAACTTATTTGAGTGAATAGATGGATTAGCAATATGTTTCCTCACTTAATACTTTTTGTAGGCTAAATGTTTATGGCTTGTATGAAGTGAGAGTTTCTGGCGATGGCAATTGTCAGGTTCATAATTTTATTGATTAATGCTTTGTTTGCTTAATGGAATTATATCTTTTTGTTAATTCCTTGTGTGTTTATGTAAGGAAACAGTTGTTTGTTGTCTTGTAGTTCCGTGCACTATCAGACCAGCTATATCGATCACCCGATTATCACAAGCATGTTCGAAAGGAAATAGTGAAGCAGGTACAGCAGATCACCTTCTGGAATTACCGGTCTTTAGTTTATATTACTGTGCTCATATGTTTAAACTGCAATATCTTTATCAGATGCCGTAACACAATGAATCTGTCATTCTCTGCTCTAGTTATTGCATTTTTTTTTCTCCAGGTGATGAATGAAGAAACAAAATTTCATCAATATATTGTAGTTATATGCTGATAAACTCCTGTTAGAGATACATGCATTCTTACCCATGCTGTTTTTCTACTTGTCTAGCTCAAGGCATGTAACTCTTTGTATGAAGGTTATGTTCCAATGAAATATAAACATTATTGCAAGAAGATGAAAAAGTATGTACTTCTGAGGCTGACCTAGCTTCCTCAATTAAAACAGTTCCTGAACCTTTTGCCTTCTGTAATGATGGCACTGAAATTTTGCCTATTCCAGATCTGGTGAATGGGGCGACCATGTCACATTGCAAGCTGCTGCTGATAAGGTTAGTTATTTTCTTTGCCATCATCCTTTTTCTCGTCTAAATTCTTACTCAGCTCCCTGCAGTCCAACAAAAGTTACAGTAACATTTGTACATAATTGGTACTATTTGTTGCATTTTACTGTTGTACAGAACTGAAGATGTCCGTTCTTTTGTTTATAACAGGATATTCAAATATAATGTTAATCATTTATTGACTGATCATTCTATGATTATCACTCTCTTTGTACAGCACTTGACATTTTACATCGTGTTCACTAAAATTTATACTTTGGCAACTTCAAACTACCGCCATAGTTTTATGAACCCTTAAAGAAGCCTAATGTTTTTCCTTCTTTTGGCAGTTTGCTGCAAAAATATGCCTTCTAACATCATTCAGAGACACATGTTTTGTTGAAATTGTTCCACAGTATCAGGCACCACAGAGAGGTAAGGTTCAAATCCTTGTCTCTACTAGTAACAAAAACTTTATGCATATGTACATGGAGAATACTAATTACAGTCAGTGCCATTTTGCATAATGCAGTTTTCTAGCTTATATACCCCTGCATGTGGATTTGTTGCACATATGCTTATACACATCCCCTGATTACTGCAAACTTACTCATTGCATAACTGGAAACATAACTAAAAGGATAAAATCAGCTTGTTGCTAACCCCTGAAGCTTCGTGTTTTTCAGAAATTTGGCTAAGTTTCTGGTCGGAAGTTCACTATAACTCGCTATATGATGCTCGAGGTGAGAAAAAATAAATATTTCTCATTTCTTATAGTGCGCTATCAGATTTGGTGCCTTGTACTGTTATACATCCCTTTCCCTAATAAGAGGAAAATACCCATTACTTTGCAGATCTCCCTAGCAAATACAAGCCTAGGAAGAAGCACTGGTTATTGTTTTAGTAACCACGCGGGAGCTTTGCTTTGGACATGGATTTTATTGCTTGGCCTTTTGGCCCCTCCTGATAGTTGGAGCTTGGAACCCTGAAGAGTGGAATCCTCTGTGGTTCTCTTCCTTGAAGCGCTGAATGGGTTTGCCGGATGCACTCCTCACCACAGTACATACAGCATTAGTTATACTATAATACTGAGAGAATTTGAGATTGCTTCCTTGTGAATATATACCCATAGGGAAATTACTGACATCCATGTTGATTGTAAACCATATTTGTTCATTGGTATATTCTGTATACATTTTATAGGCTGCTAGGTCTCTTATCATTTTATTCATTCCATTTTCCCCGGACAATTCATCTGATTTCAATTTACATACTGAATGTCTTTTGTCAGTATCTAGTAATTCAATTCATACGCCTTGTATTATGTGCCGAGTATATTTTTGACCGATCCTTATGCATGGATGCAATGCAAGATTAGTAGTTGAACCAACTAAACCAAAGCAATGAACAGAGCCCCGGCATTGAAGTGAGTAAGGCCCTGTTTGATTCAGCTTAGGATTATTATAATCTAGATTATTAGAAATAAGCTGAAAAAAATAGATAGCTTATTATGATAGATTATTATAATCTAGTAATCCACTCTAAATGTGCTTATTTTAGATTATTGGGTGGCTAACAGCTAACAAACAGCTTATAATCCAGAGAAACAAATAGCTCACAGCTTATTTTATATCGGTTTATTATAATTCACTTTACAGTAATTTGGTTCAATAATCTATATTACAATAATCTCAAAGAGAGCCTAAATCTCTGTGAGCCTTGTGTTTAGAATTTGCTTTAGGGGGAGCTTCGCAAATGTCTATTGAAGTAGGTTGTTGAATGATCTGAACGATGCTAACCGCACAACTAGACTAAACTGAGATCGTGGGCTGTCTGTAGCACATCCTAAGTTCCAAACTTGCAAGTATTTCGCTCTCACCCTGTTCGTTTTGGTGAGGAATTATTCTGGACTCAAAGTTGGTCGCTTTTCGTGCAAGAAATTCTCACTGGTATTGTTGCTTCCCCGATAGCAACTTGAGATGAATATAGCCGGGTCGGAAAGGAATCGAGCATGGGATCCTGTTTGGGACGTTTTGATCCTGGTGATGGTGTAGCTTGTGTGAGGTAAAAAATAATAATAATAATAATAAACTCGAAGCACATCTGCAGTTAGTAATGCTAGCCTTTTGTGAGTGGGAAAGCTAGAAAAACTTGCAAGCATAGCCCATGGGCTATGGCCTATGGCCCATATCATATGGCTGCATGTCAGCATCCAAATCAAGTCACAAATACAAGCCCTCGCAATTTGCAAAGCATATGCATGCGTAGCTACCCCTTTATATACTACACACTTGTAATTAATCTTGTACGCAGTATTATCATCCCATATATATATATATGAATATATCTACATCATACAATAACGACATAGGACAAAACAAAAGGAAAATGAAAAACAGCGATCCTACTCATACTCTGGTAGTAGCACCAAACAATTCCGGTGTCAAAGCTAAAGCCAAGCGCACCTTGTCGTCAAGACCTCGACGAAAAACCAGGCCCATCATCCCAGAGTCACGCACGCAGATGCGCGCAGTCACGTAGTCAGCAACTCCGGCCCCGGCCAACGGCAGCCAAACCACTTTAATTTCCATTCCACCGCACATACAGGGGATACAGCACGGTCGCCCTCCCCTTCCCCCACGCGTTCGGCTTTCGCGCCTCTATCGGCGTCTTCGGCCGGCCGGCACCCACCACACGCACCGTCGTCACATGCTGTTTTACATCTCTGCAGGCAGGACGACCACTGCGCGCACTGCGTCGCATGGCAGCGCCATCCGCGCTCCACGCGTGGAAGGCGAACGCGACAGCCGAAGTGGCCACACACGCGCACACCCCTGATGATCACATCTCAGACCGTGCGTGTGTTTCTCGGTCAAAACACGCGGTTCATCGTGCGGATCCGTGGACTCCGGGAGGCAGGGAGGGAGGGTGGCCGCCGGCGAGCGATCGATCCGCGACTTGGCGTGCCGGGCGGGTGGGCGGGTGTTGGTCAAAGCGTAACACGGTCATCAGTCATCACGAACCACCACTGGTAAAGCTTGGGGTTTGGGGGGCCAACGCAACCTCCGTGCTGCCGCATTTGAGGAACGACGAGAAGACGCACGTAATCCAGAAGTAGTGGTACAGTCATCCAGTTGCTTGGTCTCAACATGGGCATAACAATTATTGGAGCACAGGATCGGTATTATTTCAGCTAAGAGAGTTGGATCTTGTGGTAATTGGAGACTTGGAGTATATGTACTCCAAGGCAAATCCAATTGCTTTGGATGGTGTCCACTGGAAATCCAGCCGGAGGGCCGCGTCAGAATCGCCGTAGTACGTCAATTGAGTTTTTACCGATCAGGTTTACCCTTCCATGTATCACACATTTAAACGGACCAACACATCCACATGTTCTTTTTTTTTTCTTACCGTATTTTTTTTTTAGGAAACTCTAGCGGAAAGAAAACAAAAACTAAGAAAAGGTACAGCTACCGCCGTTCAAGTGACCACGCTGATGGCATCCCCATCCTGCAAACTTGCAAAGATTCTAATTCGAATGTCAAATACAATCCAAATCAGCGTTGCCAACTTGAACACGGAAGTGACCAAACTATCTTCTCATCTATATCTTGTTCATCAACCCTTTTACAATCTCTCAGACAAGAGCTTAAAGAACGAAACATGATGGGGTGTACTGAGTAGCACGTGCACACGAAACAGTACTAAAATGCTCCACGAGAAAATTCATTCTTGACTAACGCAATCATGCACGGAAAGATGGACAGATCAAGACGAAACCTAACGCAAGTAACGTGAAACCCAGGGATGCCACAGATGTTCAAAGCTCCGAGTGTACAGCGTGCATAAAACGTCAAATAGTCACTTGATCAGATAAGAATCGTCATTCTTTTTAATTAAAAAGAAACAATTCCTGCTGATTGAAGGACCGCAGGATCACACATCGCTACATGAATTGGAACAAAAACTTTGACCAATTTTACAAGACAATCTTTCTAATTATGCCTTTGATCAAGGCATTTTCGATGTTCCATGCGCAAAAAATCTCCTGCTGTTCTTGTACAGGATCCTCGCACAACTCGACCCCTAATCGTTAGTGCGCCTCTACACTCCCTTTCTGCACTCCAAAGCAAAGCAGAGTTTTGACCCAAACCAATTTATGTTCAGAATAACTTCGATGGTGGCCGACACAGCCGAAGCAGATTTCTGAAACGCCGCACTTTCGACCATCATGCGTGGAGCTTTGGGTTGCAGCGGCCATCATCAGCTGCTGTCATTTCTCATTTGTATAGCATCTCGTCTGACTGTAACTGTAACTGTAACCCCCTTTGTTGTCTCTGTTCATCTCAAGAACAACACCTCCATCACTTCACAGTTCACACCACACCTCTGAAGATAATTAATCTGCCAGCTGAACCGTGTAACCCCGGACAACGGCGACAAGTGAACCAGTGCATTTATACGCCGGTGCCAAACTGCCAATTATGGACAGGGATTGTGTTCGTAGAAGTAGGTCCATTTTAGACTGCCCCCCACTTGCTGCCAAATCTTTTGAAGCAACGGTACCTGCGGCAGATGAGATCGATCGGCAATCAAACCATTCAATCCACCGCACCGAACACTGTTGCTTCCACCGACAAAAACTCGCGTGGCCCGGAGATCACCGATGCACTGAACCGTGGCATGAATTTTCCATGTAACTTGGGACAGGATGATTGTTGTTAGCTTTGCTTGACGCCGGATGGTCGGTTTCGGTCTCGCCATAGCTGTGGTTCGTGTGACTTCAGGAGAGGAGGACATGGACGGAGGCGTTCTTGGTGGCGGCGCAGACGGGGCAAGCGTCGGCGGCGGCCTCGCAGGCGCCGCACAGGCACAGGTGGCGGCACGGGAGCAGCAGCACGGACGCCTCCGCGACACGGCATGCCTTGCACGACGTCGCCGTGGAGACCGCGACATCGGCGGCGGCGGCGGGGGTCTCGAAGCAGCACGAGTGGGCGTCCTCGGCGTCGCCTTCCCCCGCGGAGGCGGCGGCGGCGGCGGCGGCGCAGGGGGACTGGAGGAGGAGCTGGTCGAGCGTGGCGCGGAGGCCGGCGGCGACGGCCTCGTGGCTCTTGGCGACGCCCATCCACGCCTGCCCCTCCGCGCTCACCTGGCGGAGCTTCTCCTCCAGCTCCGCGTTGCGGCAGCGCGCGCGCTCCAGCTCGGCCTCCGCCGCACGCACCCTCCCCGTCGTGGCGCGCGCCGCGGCCGCCACCAGCGCCCGGACGTGCCGCCGCTGCGCCTCCTCCAGCCCCGCGCGCATCCGCTCGGCCTGCACGAACATCCACCAAACACCGACGCCGATCAAACACCACTCACCAAACACAAACAGGGGAGTCCACGGTTAACGGAGAAGCCTTCTTCCCATACCTCGAGCCGAACGAGCGCGTCGATCTCCACGCCATGGTGGTAGAGCTGCGAAAGAAGGCCCTGCGAGATTCCGCCCGCACCGTCCATCCTCCTCCCGCTGGTGGACGCCGCGCCGGCGCACGCCGCCCTGCCCGCCACATCCCCGAAGGGCAAGATCCCCTGCAGCGGCGCCGCCATCGCGTGCGCCAGGACCGCGCGCTGGTCCTCCAACAGACCCGCCGCCACGCGCGGCCGCTTCCTCTCCACGAACCCGTACTCGCCGTTGTCGCCGCCGAACACCACCGCGCCCCCGATCCCTTCCACCGCCGCCATGGGCGGCGCGCACTCGCCGGCGAGCTCGTCCAGGAACAGGGCGCCGCCGCTCGCCGCCGCGTGGAGGTCGTAAGGGAAAGCCTGGGCGAGGCGCTGCGCCTGCACGGCCATGGCCAGCGACACGATGCGTGAGCGCGAGCTTTCCTTGATGAGATGAGAGGGCGGAGAAGGCAAGGAATGGCGCGCGCGAGTTGGGTGAGAAGCAGTGGAGTCAGTGGAAGGGATGCGTGGAAACGAATGGCGAACGGCGGCGAGCGTTTTATATGTACCCGCTCCTACGGTTGGGGAAGCAGTGGCTCACTGGCCTGTGAAGAGAGGCGTTGTGGGTAAGACACGTATTACACGCTCCTGGGAAGGACAAAGCCACAAAAGGCGTGACAAAAATTCAATATGTGAAAATACTAGTACTACGGTAAGGACTACTCCCTCCGTCCCACGATAAAAGGGATTTTAAGTTTTTATTTGTACTTTTTGATCGCTTGTCTTGTTTAAAAAAAATTAAAATTATTGTTTTTTTACTTGCTTTATTATCCAAAGTAATTTAAGCACAACTTTTCGTTTTTTATATTTACACAAATTTTTTTGAATAAGACGAGTGGTTAAGTAGTGCAAACAAAAACTAAAAATCCCTTATATTATGGGACGGAGGGAGTAACTTGGTATAAAACCACGGTAGTACAAACTAAAAAAAAACCTATTTTATTAAATTCTAATGAAATTATTTTTTACTTTACCTACTTCCAATATGATTATTAGCTGATTTCACAATCTCCAATGCAATGATTACTAAAAGATGAATTTATTTTGAGACAAATAAAGGCATGTAAAGACTATTGTTTCAGGCTTGTTTTGACACGGTTTCAAATGCAAATTTTTTTTGAAAGGGATATTTCTAACTTTACAAATTTGTAAATCTAGATATGTGATTACATTAATAGTATCTGAATGATTTTTTTTTATTTTGAAAGAAATATAAAATTTTCGAGCACTTTAATTTAATTTACAAAGTATTTATCCGATTTAGGATATGTGTGTTGGAAGAGTGTGTACTGGTGGTTATATACTTATGTACGTGTGGCGTTTGTCTTGTGTAATGAAAACGTCTCAGGAAAAAGAAATAGTGTATCCTGCCTGTTATCTTGGTATAATACGCCTTACCTACTAGCAGTATGTGTGTTCTTTTTTTTCTTTTGAGATCCAGTACATATGTACGTGTTCTTGTTAGCCGATCAGAGTACGCTCGGTAGGAAACAGGTGAGCGGTGAAAATGCCGCTTTCTCCCTGGAAGTCCATGGCATAGCGCCCGCCCCAGACACTTTCTAGGCGCGCGAGGTCGACGCGATCGAAGCGCTTCATTCAACCGGCAGCGCCGTAAGCCACGGAGATGCGCAGTTTAAGGACTTGTTTGTTTGGAGAGCTACTAGCTATTATAACTTCTCTCGGAATCTGAAGCTCCCTAAACAGCCTATCTTTTGATTCAGATTTTGAGAAGTTATAGTTTTAGATTTTAGAAAATAACTTCTCTGGATTCTGAAACTAAGGCCTACGCTGCGCAGCACTGTGCAGCGTCTTCCCAGCCCCCACACCTCACGGCTCGCAAATTAATCAACGGAATCATGGCCAGGGAGGAGTGGACCGTGGAATTCAATGGATGGGCACGTTGCGTTTGCATTATAACCGGATCTAGCGTTGTCTGATGAGCGATCTCTTAACTCGTCGTGACCCCGGAAATATTTAGTGGTTAACCACATCTCTGTGCTGCCCGTGCCAATACAGCTTTTTGATTAATTACCTTTGGCGGATTGGGTTTACTACTAGTTCAGGCGCGTGCATACCTCATTACAGTAGTACCTTGCCCCCCTTGTCTCCCACATGTAGGTCTGACGGTTGACGGATCCGTCGAAGATCTAGCTAGCACATCTCCAGATCTAGAACTACAAGAACGGTGATCGATTAATTTCCGTAACAGAGCTGAACTAGCAGCATATATAGTACTCCTATACGTACCCCGAGCAAGCAGCCGTACGTACAGTTGCAGTGCAAAACGATCCAAAGACAATCTGCCCACCGTGACAGCAGCAGCAGCGGCAGCTATACGTACGTACATCGCACGTACAGCGCGCGCTGCGGCGTACGCAGTCCGTGCTTGTCTTGGCACCGATGAAGCTTAGCGAGATACTCCGATCCACCACGCACGTACACTGCACCGCGCGCGCAGGCTGCAGCTTGTTGTTGTACGTCGTCGCCACGCGCGCCATTATATTGATGGCTCGCACCGACCGACCGACCGGCCGGCACGGCCCTGACCGTCGAGCCGGCCGCCGGGGAGGACTGGCTGGTGGACCGCGCGCCCGCGCGAGCTGCAGCTGCTGTACCCAACTAGCTACTACCCATGCATGCAATTGCATGGGGACACGCATTAAGATTCGAGCAGCCGTGCACGCGAGCCGCGTGATCACCCTGCCTGCACCCTGATATACTGCTGCCTCTGGGCCTGCCTGCCTGGCCGTGCACACAGCTGCATGCAAAAACACACAGTATATGTCAGCCGTGCTCCAGTAGGCGTTAGCGTTACATTACGTACGTAATCCATGACATTGTCAATATGCTAATGCGGTAATGCCGTATTACTGTCATCTGCTAACTGCGATGCATCATGCGCTGTGGCGCTACCACGTAGTAGTACGGTGTACGTGCAGCGCGAGTACGTCAGCGCCTACGTCTCCGGGGGGAGTCGATCGGCGACCGACTGATCGATCTGATCGCGCGCCCGCCCGTAATGAATTCGATCACACGGTCGGTGGCCCCGCCGGCCTGGGAAAGCTACCGCAAATTAAAGCCCGCCCACATCCGATCCCCCTTTCGTACATACTCCCTCCGTATTTTAACGTATGACACCATTGATTTTTCGATCAACGTTTGATCATTCGTTTTATTTAAAATTTTTGTACAAATATGAAAGTATTTATATCATGCTTAAAGAACATTTAACATTTGATGATGAATCACAATAAAATAAATGATAATTGTATAATTTTTTTTGAATAAAACGAACAGTCAAACGTTAGATAAAAAATTAACGGCGTCATACATTAAAATATGAAGGTAGTAATACTTATACCTGCGGCTGTCCACCAGAACACACGGACTAACCGATCAATATAAGCATGCACACGCATCATGGATGGATATATGGATTGGTGTACTGCGTGCCCCGTCGTGCATGCATTACTGCGTACGCGTACGTTCCTAGTAGTCGATCGTAGCGCGCAAAGCATGGCCAGATCTGCGAGTCTAATGGCAACACGCATGCACGGCCGTCGGGGTAGAGAGCTATAGTATAGTAGCTAGCTTACATAAGCTATAGCCCCATGACCACATCACAGTAAACGTACCACATACTTCCAGTGAACAGTGTCACATGCCGTGTGGAGTCACGTATATATGCGCCCGCGTCGTGCACAGCTAGCTTAACAGCCGCATATATATACATGACACATCTATATGGCAGCTGCATTGCACAGTTTCAGCCTTTCAGGACCATGGCTCGTGCTGTGTTGGTCCGGACGGCTGTATCATGCATGCGCGCAGTAAGCAGGGTCCCTGAACCTGAACGTACGTACGGATAGCGCTGCTGCCCTATCGACTGCACGCATCGGCGCGCGCGTGTGGGCATATGCATCCAGCGCTTTCTCTGTTTACGCTGCTGAATTTTTTATGTTTCGACCCTTTCTTAAAACTTATTTTACAAATAAACCCTTTCTCTAAAAACTTATTCTAAAAATGGTCCATTTCTCAATGACAATAACCCTTGACACCAAGGTCTAAAACCAAAAATATTGGTGCCAACACCATTACCCCCCTAGCAGCCGAGGACAGATTTGTAATATATTTTTTTGAGAAGGACCATTATGTAATTACCTTTTCTTATAAATAGATCCTCAGCATCATGGAGGCTAGCATTGAGGTCTATTTGTAAGAAAATATTTTAGTTTTTAATCATTTTTGAAAAAGAATATAAATAGGTCCTCGGTATTAGTTTCCTTGGCTCGACCCACTTCATATGAGCGACTTAGGTAATAGGGAGTGACGAGGGTGTCGACGCCAATTAATGGCTTTGATGTCGAGAAAGATTGTTAATTTCTAAAACAAGTTTTTCAGGGGATTATCATAAAATAAGTTTTTCTTATAAAAAAAATCCAGGTTTTCCTGTTTGGCTCGTCGTAGCCAGCGCTAGATGGTCCAAGCTCGCCAGTCGTGAGCTCTGTTTCTGTGAGCTAGCGCTAGGGCACGGCGCCGTGCCAGTCCATGCTGTGTACGTACATGGAATAACCGTACATATTGACATATCGATACTCCTACATTGCGTGATGAACGGTCGTATTCAAAAAATCTACTGCTCCCTACATTTCAAAATGCTTAAAAAAGTTGACTTTTTAGTAAATATTTGACCGTTCGTCTTATTAAAAAAATTTGTGAAATATGTAAAACTATATGTGTATATGAAAGTATATTTAAAAATAAATCAAATGATATGAAAAAAAATAAATAATTACTTAATTTTTTTAAATAAGACGAATGGTCAAATACGTACTAAAAAGTCAACGGTGTTAAATATTTTGAAACGGGGAGAGTGCTATTATTATTGGATATGCTCCGAGCAGTGCCTAGTTAACCAAACAATATACTTGGTAAACCGAGCACACGAATTTTACATTATTTTTTAAACTGTAGCAATGCATCATAGAGCAAAGTGAATAGTAGTGCCTCAGTCATTAATAGTATTTGACGTTGGGAGTATAAGCTTAATGACGGGAGATAATATTCGGCTAGTTAAACAAAAATTGCATCCATTGGCTATTTTTTAAAAAATTAAGATACATAGTTTATCTCATTTGTGTTATACGCTTTTCAAACTCGTAAGTATATATAGGTTGTTTTAAAATACAAGATACATTCATTTTAAGTTTAAAAAATTAAAAACAAATTTAATTAATTATGCGATGTGACATCCCTTCAAAATCTCTAATACTATGGGACCGGGGAGTTGCAATTTTCTCATTTTATGTTTCCGTATTTAATCTTCATTTTAAGTGAACTCACACAGGCCTGGAACATGATGCAATTAACGACAGGTTTTTTTTTTTTTTTTGCCTCGTTAGACTTGAGCATGGACTAGCAAAAGGGCTCACGGATCACGGACTCAGGTTGCTTGACATCACAACCCCAGGAGGAGGTTGGCAGCCAGGTCCTCTCTCTTTTCTCTCTCAACCTTTTCGGTTGCCATCAGATCATCCG